ATTAAAAAAGTAGACCAAAACACACAGAACCAGATAAAAGGCCTTAACAGGTCCATTGGAGCCATGGCAAAGTGGTGTGTGAAAAAACACAATCCAGAGATTGAAGATCAGAAAATGTCGGTCACCATCGCTGGGTGCATCCAGGTCTCCAAGACAGCAACCACAACCACAAGGACCGAGGTTCCTCATCGGGAAAACAAGATAGAAGTTTTGAATCAATGGCGGGTGGATAACAAAATCTTCAAGTTCAAGGTTGTTATTCCCTTGTCACAAAAGGGGGTGCTGAATCGGATGATGCTGGGACGCAAACAGATAAACCAGCCCGATTTGGTCTTGTTGCACAGCCATGGTACTGTCTTGTTATACCTCGCCAGCACCATGCAGGCTTCTGGTTTCGTGACAGACAGGACTGGCAACCCGACTCTGGTTCTGACGGTTCTTGTCAGCGTGCTAACGGGGGGAGCAACATTGAAGAAGGCTCAGCTGCCACCCCTGTTGGAAGAAGATCCAGAGTTCCATCCATGGGCCCCCCATCAGAACAGTGGGTCGCATGGGCGTGTCTTGCTGAGGAATGGCAGAGGCAACTTTCCAATGGCCAATATCGAAAGGACGAATGGATGGATTGCATCGGGAGAAGTCAAAGAGTGGAGTGCCCACCGGGAGTGGTGGTTCCACGAGGATGGGTTTAGTCGCATTAGGAAGTATTGCCAGGACTCTAAAAAGCCAGCCAAAGCAGGGGACGCAATTCCGGAAGGCAGCGTGAAGACAACAAATTGTGATATCATTGTCAAAAAGGATATGATGGACGATTATGCCCACTTGATTTCCAACCTGATGCAGGCCCTTGTTTTGTGGTAATTGGCTGCGGTACTGATTTGCGGTTTGCTTTTGCGCTATATGCTTTATCAGAAGGCTGGGTGGTCATCTCGTAAGATTCCTGCTATGCACTTGTGTGAATCGATATATACAGATAACCACTACTAGTATGTCTGTGAGAATCGCATAAGAAACACAATGTGGTTTCTTGGGTTGGCTGCTAAGTGGGAATATCGTTGATATTCTCATCTCCTCGTTCTTTCATTTTTTTCTCTTCTAACTCATTCAGCCGAGAATCAAATTAAGGGGCGATCCATGGGAGACCTTCAAACTTGGGAATGATATGCTGGTATCCCATTGACATTCTTTTCTTGCTTCCTGGGTGGTTTCTTGCACAGGAAACTTTCAAAAACTGCGAGGAGTTTTTTCTTTCGCTCGAGCTCGACAAATCACGCTGGGCCAATCGCTACATCCCTCCTTGAGAACCGACGCTACGAGTTTTTCGTATGCTTCTCCACGCATGCAGGATGGATCCTTACAGTACCTTTCATAAACAAGCTTACAATTGGTCTTCTGCATCACTTCGACACTCTTTACTAAGTGTGCTTCTTCTCTCTGTTGTGTCTCCTTGATGTGCGAATGAATCTCACTGTTCATTGCCACTGTGATGCAGGGCTTTAGGTGGCAGGAGGAGCAATGTGGGGTCGCTTTTGCGACAGCCGGCCCACTTTTGGATCATATCCTGAGGACAGTATACAAACCTCACCTCTGAAGCTTCCCACTCAGATGACTCGTGTGGGTATCCCTGGGAGGTGAACTTGCCACTCCATCGGCCATTCTTGAGTCTCTTGGTCTCTCTGCAAGTGAACTTTGCGGCCCGTTTGTCTTTCCAGTTTGCCTTTGGTTTGTAACTTGGTGCTCTTTTCTCTTGAGCTTTTTGAGGCCTGTCTATAGTACTGCCTGCTGTTTTGTCACTCTTTGGGCTTGGGAAGACATGACCAATCTTGTCCAGGAAGTGGATTCGACCAGAAGAAAGTGTCTCGGGGAGTGACATGGGGGTGTGGTCTTTCAGATTCTTTGTGGCCCATCTGCTTCCCTCTGGTTTGGACATATTCATCTTCTCTCCAAAGCAAAGTCCGCAGAAGTCTGTGTCCTCTACACATAGTGGGCATCCCGAGAATAGAACTTTCTGGGCAGCCAAAACTGCCTCACCATCCACTGCGTAACTGTCGAGATATGAACCTGGAAGGGGCATTTTTATACTACCTTGGATCTTCTTTGATATTTGGAATTGTATGCTGTTCCCAAACTCGGATTTCATTGCATGGTGTTAATTTGAAGGTAATGTCTGTTGTGCATATCTGGTAGTCGTATTGTACTTATTGCGGCAACGAATAGTACTAGAAAATCAGGTGTTGCTATAGGACAAAACATCCCGTCTGAACCAGCAACCTAGATTCAAAAAAGGGCAGCTTGGAATGGCCGCGCCAACCTCCATCTTTGCCTTCAGCAGTCGAGACCAATTGGAAAATTGCTGTGGAAACCTGCTAGCTAGAAGGTGACACTGGGACGAACCCCAACAGGAGATTGAAACCACACCTCCATCTGGGACACTGGACACAAGACCCCCATACCACCTGGCCCTGGATGTACAACCCCGTGTCCCACACCTGGTACCACCGGGAAGGATTGCTGTGGCAGGAATACACCGGAATTGGAACCGGAACTCGATTGAGGCGGTTTCGAAGGTCGACCGTTGAGAGAAACTGGGAGGATCGATGGACTGATGTTGCACTACAGGTGACCCCATTGTACCGACTCCCATTGGCCACACCAGACCAACAACTCTGTGAGTACCAGACTGTTTCCGTTCAACGCGAATCAACCGCAACCGCCCCAACCACCCAGAGGAGGTATCCTTCCAGTGGTCCTTTCCCTCCACCTCCCACACTGCCCCACCTGATGACGAGGGCGACGATGAAGCCCCCACCACAATCCCACCCCTCTCTACACGCTCTGATTGACAAACTCCCCAGCAGTGACAAGTGGGCATTCCAGCACACCACCTCCCAGAGGACGACGGTATGAAGGTGGCAATGGCAATCCTTACAGGCAAGGCAGTGGCAGTCAGTGATGGGTCATACAAGAACGATTCCGGCACAGCTGCATTCGTGCTAGAAGGCAACGACGCAGAAGGACGAATCAATGGCGAACTGTGTGTCCCAGGTTCCCCAAAAGACCACTCATCCCTTCGAAGTGAACTGGCAGGACTGGTGGCTGTGATGCTGATGGTCCGCACTCTGGTCCATCGCTTCGACCTCTCCAGTGGAAGATCATCATAGGCTGTGACGGCAAGCAGCACTGAAAGCACTGGAATCCATCTTTGAGCCAACCAGCAACAAAAGGGACTATGACCTGGCGTGGAAGGCAGAGCAGTTCTGAAGCAACTACGGAAGCGAAAGTGCAAGTTCTGTACCTGTTGGGTGAAAGGGCACCAGGATGACGACAAGAGACCCACCTCGGCGACTCCGACCGGAGCTGCTGCGTGGAAACGACCTCACCATGGTTGTCTGGACCGATGGGCTATTCTGAATATCGAGATGGACACCAGGGCAAAAGCGCACTGGGATCTCCACCAGTTCACGC